ACGCGGGCCTCTCACTGTGGTGGCCTCTCCCGTTGCGGAGCACAGGCTCCGGACGCGCAGGCTCAGCGGCCATGGCTCACGGGCCCAGCCGCTCCACGGCATGTGGGATCTTCCCGGACCGGGGCATGAACCCGTGTCCCCTGCATCGGCAGGCGGACTCTCCACCACTGCGCCACCAGGGAAGCCTGAGCCAGTGTTTTTGTAGACAGTTCATGATATGTTCAGTGGGAGGTTTAACTTACATGCTCTAAGCAGCGCTGGTGGCTGCCCCGATAGGCCTGTCCCAAGGAGAAGGAAAAAAAAAAAAATGCAGGGATGGAGAGTGAGCAAGAGGGTTATCAAAGCACAAAGGAAGGGCCGAGAGATGTACATGACAGGATCCCTGGGTGCTACCAAGGGGCCAGGAAGGCCTTACTTGGTCTACCCTGACCTCTCTCGTGTCCCAGCCCCAGAGCCCCCTCTACTGTTCCCCAAACGTGCCAGGCACAGTTTCACCCCAGGGTCTTTGCACTTGCTGTTTTGCCTGGGAAGCTCTTCTGTACATACCCCTGTGCCGGTCGCCTCACGGCCTTCCCTGTTCACTGGGCACCTTCTTGGGAGCCTTTCTCTGACCTCTGCATTTGAAGCACCAGCCAGCCCACCAAACACACATCCCCTCACACACACTGCTCTCTTCTATTTGTCTCCATACCTCTTAACCACCTAATAAGCTTATGATCTAGTCCCTCCTTTTGCTGTCTGTCTTCCCTTTTGCTAATGTATGCTTGTTGTGAGTAGGATTTTTTTTCTCAATGATTAAAGCATCCTGATTGAAGTGAGTAGCAGTATGCCCACGCTCTGACCTTTCGGTTAGTGATTCTGTGGTCGTGGTACAGCACGTGCTTCCCACAACTTATACATGGGCTTGGGAGGAAGATCATTGAATACACTAATTATCAAATGGGAGCACCTACAGGAATCGGTACAGTGTTTAACTTTAGGCATATTTCTGAGTTTGCCCCCCAAAGCTTCTAATCCAGCAGGTCTGGGGTGGGCCCGAGAATTTGCTTTTCTAACAAGTTCCAAGATGAGGCTGGTGCCACTGGCCAGGCTGACTTATCTCTCCAGGGAAACACACGAGCTGGGAGGGTCCCCATGCGCCTCTGGATGGAGACAGGCTGTGACCTGCCCGCTTTGCTTTCCCAGGTGTGGAGGAGCATGCGAGATGAGGGCCGCTGCCGAGGCATCCTGGCCGCGCTGGTCGTCCTGGCTGGGCTGGCAGGTAGGGACTGCGGAGCTGGTTGGCACGCTCCCGGGCATCCACTCGGAGTGGGCGGGAGGGGCTTGGAGGAGGCCACGGGGGCACGTGGCTGCCAGCAGATTCTGCCTTAGGCTCTTCCTGTTGGGTCCCCTCTGCCCCACCCCATCCATTTCCTGCTGCGCCGGCCTCACTCTGGAAGGGTCCTTTAGGTGCGCAGGAGCCCACAAGTCCTCCTCCAGGGGTCCCTGCTTGGGTACCTTCCCAAGGTCATTGCTCTTGTTGAAGCATCCCATTCCCCCGCCTGGATATTCTCCCCTTCCATTTCTACCTGGTCTTTGAGGAAGACCTGATTTGGGCGTCACCTCCTCCCTGAAGCCTTCCTGGCCTTGCAGTTTTCTGGGTGATAACCCCACATCTCCCATTGTTGGCAGAGTGAGGGGCCCATTGCCTGTGAGACTTCCCAGTCCTCCCGACAGTCCCTCCTCATCCTGGAACTTTCCCAGAGTATCAGTCGGAATAGATTCCAGGTGTCCCAGGCCAGGGTCTCTGGATCAGATTCCGCGTTGCAGGAGATGGAGTGTGCAGACCCCCGGGTGCTTAGGGTAACAGGAGTTTGTACGCCAGCTTTCTTTTGACTATGTCTTGTCTCGATTTCATGGCTTCTGTCTGGTGTGTTTGTCTTGTTTTCCTAGCTAGGTTTTAAAGTCCTCACGGTATTCTTACTTCAGGAATTTTAAGGTGCTGTATTGAAGAATAATATACATACAGAAAAGTGCACAAGTCATAAAGGTACAGCTTGATGAAATTTTACAAACTGAGCACCTTTGTGTATCAACGATGAGCCCAAGAACACTTCACAAATGCTTTCTTCAGCCCCTCCCCCTCCCTCAAAGTGATCATTATTCTGACTTTTAGTTGCGTAGATAAGTTTTGCTTGCTTTATACTTTACACACCTATAAACTCTGTTTCAGATGGCTAGATAATAGTTTTTTCTTTTCTTTTTTTTAAACTCCATCCACGACAGCTTGAAAAAAGGAAACAGAATAAAATAGTATAGGAATGATCAGAGTGTGTGATGTGCAGTCAGGACTGTTTTACAAATTTCGGTTTTGGGTGTGTTTACACATTAAGCCAAGGGAACCAGGCTGTGGTGTTAACATGTATTTAGGGGCAAAGGTGTTTGGAAGCCCGTGCCTTCTAGTACGTGGTGCTAAGCGTTTAGTAGGTGCTTGATATGCGTTTGTTTGAAGGGTGGAGAGAACTTTTTCCCTGCTTGTGTGGGGACTCATGCGGTTAGCAAACCAGGCTCAGCACACATTTTAGGGATATGGCTCCAACGTGGCTGTCTCAGCCATGGCGGTAAAAATCTCTTCCAGCAGCTTAGCGGAAAACTGATGAACTCTGTGTCTACAATTTTTCTGAGCTATTTTTCCTGAAGTACTCTTTTGAAGGCAGAGATGGCTTGGGTTGACGTCTGGAGATAGCTATTCTATGAGGGGAGAGGATTATGGGTAATCCTAGAGCCCTTTGGGGGATGGGGTCCGTTGCAAAAGCCTGAACTCCTAGGATGCTGCATCTTGGAAAGTGTCGGGTAGAGACACCTCCAATGGCTTTGAATAGCTGAGGACAACCTCCACGTACCCCCAAAGGACTCCTGCCAGCCCTCGCCTGTCCACCTTGCTCCTAGTGTGATGGCTTATTTGTTCACTCGGTGAATATTCACTGGGATCCTCTTACGTGCCATTTAGGTGCAGGCACTGGGATGAGCAAAACCAGGCGCAGTCTCTGCTAACAAAGAGCTTAGACATCAATTGATAGATGACACCATGACAATTGCGTCACTCATCCGAAAGTCTGTTATGGATAATTTTACCTGCACAGGGTGGTCTGGGAAGGCTTCCTGAGGAGGAGACGACTTGGCTGGAAGCTGAGGAGTAAGCGAGACTAGTTCTTCAGGCAGTCACTGCCTGTGCAAAGGCCCTGGGGCCAGAAAGAGTTGGTGAGGTGGATAAATTGAAGATGGTCTGGTGGGCAGAGGGTGGAGTTTGGGGCAAAATGAAGTTGGAGAGGACGTTGATGTGAGACTAAGAAGGGTCTTAAGATATGGTAGTGTTAAGGGTGATCTGGTCTGTATCTGAAAGGATGGAAATATTTTAAACAAAGTCTGGGGTGTTGGGGTGGGAGGTTGGAAAGGGTACCTGGTCACACAGGCATGTTGAGAAGACCCATCTGGCTGCCACGTGGAGAGCGCAGTCTTGGGTGATGGCGGTGGCACAGCGGTGATGATGGCACCTCCTGCTATGGTCAGTGGGACATGGGGGGCAGCTCTGATACACCTCGGGACCCCCTCCCTCGCCTGTTTCCTTCTGATGCTCCCAGTCCCCGATGTCTTTTGACTACCATTTTCTCCATTGGAGCTCTCTTACCTGGGCACTTCCCTTCTACTGCCCTCTGTTTTATTTCCCTTTCTCCCTTCTGCTTTTAATTGTCTGCTTGTCTGCTCATTTCCAATGTTAAGTAAGAGATGGGAGCAGGTGAGGGGTCTACAGGTGCAGGAGGGAAGCTGGGGAAGAGGTAAGTGGAAGATTAGAGGGGTTAGTGGGTGCAGACCCTCTGTGCCCCACACACCAGGGAGACACCTGGCTGCTACTCCAGGGAGCTGAGAAAAAGCAGTTGCAGAAGAATGGTACTTATGTTTAGGATCTATATCTGCAGAGGATTGGGAGGGGCCAGGCAGCTGGCCCACATGCTACTGTGTGAGTGATTTCAGTTTTGCACCTGTTAGGGCACAATGAGTAGAAGAGAAGCTTCTCAGTCCCTGGGTGGCAGCCAGCCATTTACACGGAGATGCCTGGTGGAGCGGGATTTGCAAGGCAGCAGGAAAGCAAGAGCGGGGGCGTGGCTGAAGCCCTGGATTTGGAATTGGAGGGTGTTGGCATGAATGAGCATCTTGCAAGTGGATCAGCTCCTGCAAGGGAGGACCCGGTGTTGGGTGATCACCGTAGCTGGTGGCCGAGGTGGGTGCGGGGACACTCATCGTTCCCGTGGCTCTGCCCCTGGTTTGGCCCTTTGCTCTACCAAGTGAAAGGGAGAACAAAGGGGAAAGCGGACTGTTTGATGAAAGGTCTTATTTACAATTTTCTCATATTTGTCCTGTGTGGGGCAAGTTACACACACCGCAGCTGATAGGATGCAGGTGAGAGAGCAGTGAGATTCCAGGGCCTCACGTTACCGGAAATAGAGCTTCTGAGTCACAAGGCAGAGCTGGAGGGGAGTTTACTCATGGTGGTAGCAAGGATTGCAGGCAATCATGGCAGGGGAGTTTAGTGATTAGGATTTGATGCCACCTGTTTAATTTAAAGGCCAAGTTCAAAGTGGAAGAGTTTCCATTTGGTCCAGGTCCCTCCCAAGCTCCCACCTCCCGAGCTGCACAGTAAGGTCTGTACCTGGTGCATTCTTGCTCCCATGTGTAGTCTGAAGGGAATTTAAAGACTGGCTTGGAGTGAACAGTGTTTTGGAGTGAATAACCTACCCGGCACCAGGAAGTGATGGAACCAGGGCTTCAAATGCTTTGCTTATCCAGCTGGAGTGGCCTGGACGGAGCAGCTGGCGGGCAAGCCCGGGTCTCACCGCCCCTGCGCTCCCAGCACCCAGACCCGTGGGCTGTGTTCAACCTACTCCCATGGACCCGAGTCCGAGGTGGGAAAGATGTTGTTATCACAGTGTGGAGTATGAGGACACGTCTCGTCTTTTCTTCCTCAGGGTGTAGATTTGGCTGTTTCTTTCCTTTGAGCTTTTTTTTTTAAGATGCAATTCAGGGCTTGTGGAAAGAACCAAGTTGGCACAGAGGCTGTGGCTTCCCTGGGGAATCATTTCTGCCTTCCCTTCTTCAGGCTTTTTCCCTTTTTAAAAAAATCCCAGATCAGAAGGATCCTTGGATCAGAAAGATGTGCCCAAGGGTAAGGGAGAACACCCAATTTGAGTGGTTATTAAGGGTCATACTTTCTCTCTCTTTCTATCATGCCCAGAGGCAAAACAAAGAATAGTGATCATGTTCATGCCCAAACAGGATTAGTCCTAGTTAATTATGACCTTCCCTCAGTTTTGCCTCTTTGGAGCCTGGGATCTCCTGGTTGACCCAGTCCTACAGGTCTCAGAGACACTGTACACCCCATTCTCTCCTATTGACCTGGCCCTGCTGTGGGCATCATCCCTGCAGTGCATTCTGGGTACTCAGGTGAGTGTCAATGTGTTAATGCATGTCTGGTGGGGAGGTTCCTTCCCAGAAATCTTTCAGGTGGTAATTAGATTCTTTTAGAACCTGCCTTTAGAACCTGACCTTATAAGATTGGAAGGAAAGAGGGGCTGCAGTTATTTGGGGGCACCCAGTGTGGATGGGGGCTGCCTGGTGGACCTGCAGGGTTCACATAGCTCCGGAAGGTGATAGAAACATATAGTCTTTTTTTTTTTTAAGATTTTTTTTGATGTGGGCCATTTTTAAAGTCTTTATTGAATTTGTTACAATATTGCTTCTGTTTTATGTTTTGATTTTTTTGGCCGTGAGGCATGTGGGATCTTAGCTCTCGACCAGGGATTGAACCTGTGCCCCCTGCATTGGAAGGTGAAGTCTTAACCACTGGACAGCCAGGGAAGTCCCTGGAACATGTAGTCTTACTGATGGTGGCAAGTGTGGCTGAGAAGAAACCAAGAGTGTGGGCTGTTGGGGGGTCTTTTTACTATAAACTCTGAGTGAGATCAGAGTGAAAAGAATGGGAAAGAGGGGGAACTCAGAGTGGGAAGGGCTGAGTTTGTGTCTCAGCCCCACCCCTGTGATCACAGGTCCTGAGACGTTGCTGGTCTTGATTTCCTCAGCATTAAAATGTAAGAGGTAACAGATGAGAAATCTTGGAGATTATCAATTGCTCTGTAAGTTCTACTTTGCATTATTATTACAAACATGGGAAAGTCTAGGAAAACTCTGACCACCAATTCGCTCTTCTGGGGTGATAAGAAAATCAGTCCTAAATGGCTGAAAGATTTCTTGAGTTCTTCAGGTGCAGAACACACTCCATCTTGAGTGTTTCTGACTGAGTTCCCATGAGCTGGAGAGGTCTTGATGCCCTCCTTGGGGAAGGCCAGTTAGGAGTTGTCTTTCCAGTTAAAACCAGTGTCAGAGTTCATCTGGTGAGCAAAAGGTAGAATGTTGTGAGAAGTCTGAAGGAAACATTTTACTTTCCTCTATGATTTTCTTGGTTTGTCTTGTACGCCACGTAGTAGTGACTGCTTACTGAGTGCTTGAGGGTCATGTTAAGGGCTTTATGTGGATCGTCTCATTTGGTTCTTAAAACTAGTTCCTGTGGTACTTTTAACCAACCTTGGGTCCACTTGCACAACATGCAGCCAAGCCAGTCTACTGACATGAGGTTGTGGTGAAGGAAAGTGCAGTGTTTATTCCAAGCACCAAACAAGGAAAACAGGCAGCCAATGCTAAAAAGACCCAGACTCCCTGATAGCTTTCAGGGAAGGGCTTCAAAAGGCAGTGTGAGGGAGGGGGTCATGGGGTTCATAAACAGCTCATGGACATTCTTCTGGTTAGTTAGTGGAGAGATAACAGGGTAGTATTTCAGGAGTTAACATCATCAGCCTTCTGGTTCCAACTGGTCTGGAGTCTATGTGCTTGTGGTCAGCATGCACTTAACTTCTTTCACCTGGTGGGGGTTTCAGTATCTGCAAAACAGCACAAGAATATGGCTCAGGATATTATCTATAGCCCTAGAGGAGGAGGTAAGTGTCCTTGACTTTGTTTTATGGCTAAACTATTATTACTTTGTCTTGTTTGACTGTTTTCCTTTTTTTCTGCATTTTCTCACTTCTCTGGTTAAATTTGCTATTTGGAACTTAGGGAAGGTCTAAGAGGTTAAATTTTTTCTACAAACAAGAAGCAAGGGGGATAGGGGAGGGGAGGGCCTGTCTCTGGGAAGGCCCTGTAGCATTCTGCTGGGTTTCAGTACTAGTGTCCCTCTTGTGCAGTGAGGGGAGTGGTCAAGGAGAAGTGTGAAAACTTTCCCAGGGAGGCAGGACTTTGGAGTTCACAGTATTATGCTCTAGAACTACCTGCCCACCCGCTGGAGTTTTAAACACAACACTAGATGCTCTAAGACTCTCTACGAGGCTGCCAAATGCATCCCCCCAGTCTTGCCATTGAGGGATCCCACTCTCCTGCATCCTTTACATCCCCACAGGGTTCTCCTTGAGGGATCACTTTCTCCTACATTCTTCTATGTGTTTTCCCTCTCTGTGTCTCCCCCACATATCTCTTCTCGTCCTTAGGAAGTGGGGTGTGGCATTAGTGACAGTTCCATCCTAAGGGTGCAGGGGGCATGCAGTGGACCATGGCCATGGCAACCTGGGGTCTCCACCCTCTACACAAAGAGAAGCTTCTTTCCACTTCCCCCTTTTAGCCTTGGGATCTCCTCTGAGGTGGAAATCACCTGTCCTTCCTACTTCACTGGGAGGAAGATTCTCACTTCATGGTGAGGCTGAAAAACTTGCCTGAAGTCACAGAGCTAGGCTAGTGGTAGCTCTCCAGACAGGCTGGGGTCAGATACTTAAGGTAACATCCCACAGGAGGTGGAGGAGGGACATTGCTCCCTCCAGTCCCAATCCCACTGGGAGTTCTGTGGACTGTGGACTGGGGAGAGGGCCATGGAAAGGAGGGCATGTGTGTGGCTTCATGTCCACTGGAAGCTCCTGAGCTACTGGGAGACCTGGTACTGAGACCAGTAGGACATGGAATCTGAGCCACGGATGGTCACCCAGTGGCCACAACTGGTACACAGAAATGCTACATTGTACAGTCGACTTCTGTAGTCATCCCCTCACCAACTTGAAAAATTGGTTGTCTTTTAGTTTGTGGATCCAGCAATGAAATCATAGAGGGTCCCAAGAATGTCACGGTGCTGAAGGGCTCGGAGGCTCGCTTCAACTGCACCATCTCGCAGGGCTGGAAGCTCATCATGTGGGCTCTGAAAGGCACGGTGGTTCTGAGCATCACGCCCATGGAGCCCATCATCACCAACGACCGCTTCACCGCCATGAGTTATGAAGAGGGCAGTAACTTCATCTCTGAGATGATAATCCACGACGTACAACTCAGTGATGCAGGGCAAATCAAATGCAGCCTCCAGAACAGTGACCGGGACGGATCTGCCTTTCTTTCTGTCCAAGGTGTGTATGCAGGTGACTCCAATGGGAGCATTTGGAGTTCACTGGGTTAAATGTCAGGGGGCTGGAAGGGACCTTCTGAAGTTCATGTCGTACATGGGGACATATAGGGTCGAACTTCAGTTGGTGCTATGCTTAGAATTATTCTGAACTGATGGATATTTTGTTACTTATCACCATGCTCCCTCCCCCTCTCCCTTCTTCCTGGCCTTCCTTCCTTCTTTCATATGTGGACTTGCCTTCAGCTTAACAGCTATTCTGAACTGGCTAGTGTTTGTTGTTTTTAGGTGTTTATTTCTCTCCTCCCATCCTCACTGACTTTCTACTTTCTTTCTTTCTGCTTCTCTCCCTTTCCTCTTCCTTTTCCTTCCTTTCCTTTTCCTTTCCTTTTTTTCTTATTAAAACTATTAGAGACAGCTTTTATCACTTTTTTCATCTGACCAATTTCAGTACTAATAACTTTTCTGGAAGTACATCCCGGAATTCTGGGGCCAGTTGCAGTCACTTGTCTTTGATTTAGAGAGAGAGTTGACGATCATTGCCCTTTTTCTAGCTTTTCATATACTTGACTCTATTTCTTTGCCTGACATCATTTATCAACTTTGAATCATGCTTTAACTTTTTCCTCTTCCAGCTGAATTCCCCTAATCTATTATTCTTCCTGCCCACAGTGGTTCTTATAATCAAAGGTGTGTGTTCACTAAGCCCTACCAAGTCTTTTAGAGAAAATAAAAGAGTAAACAAAATTTATAATAATGGATAACTTATTTTTCCTTTTATCATTTATTCATTTTCATCATAGGGCAGTTGTGGGATCAAAGGTAATTTTCAGGTGCTGAAGATTATGCTACTTAGTGAAAAAAAAAAGGATACAAGGATTCAGAACATCTTTATCAAAGTTTAATCATTTTGCATTCCTTAAAAATGTAATTATGTAGTATTTGTAGATGCATTGGAGCTTTTAGAGTTCCTGATTTCTATAGCAGCATTTCTTTTAACAGACTACATTGTGTCTTTGAAATTTTTTCTTATGCCTGTTTATTAGTTTGTTTAGGAGAAATTTCCAATGATTTGGTCTATATTCATATTGCTATCAAATCAAATTTGATAATGTTCAGTGGAGTTACATGCCTACTTATTTCTACTTGCATTTTTAAATTTAGTCAAATTGTTATATCTTTACTTTTATGTGTCTTTAATTTTGTGTGGTTTAATTAGGGGCACAATGATATTCTCTAAATAAGTGATTCTGTGAAGCTACCTGGATTATTGGCTTAGTTTGCATGACCAAATTATTATTCTAATAATTTGTGGTATAAAGGAAAGAACACAGGACAAGGAACCAAGGATATGAGTTCTGGTTTTGTTTTCATCAGTTACCTACCTTGGTGACTCCTGAAATGGCTCAATTTCTTTATCTTTAAAGTGAGGATAAGGCTCCCCTGCCCACATCACAGGTTTACTATGAGGATCGGATGGAACGATGACTAGGGATGGTTTGAAGACTCCAAAACCCTGTCTGTTTCAAGTTACTGCAAATGAAGCTGGTGGGGCAGAGAAGTCTAGTGGTAAATAGCACAGAGGTGGGAGCCTGACTGCCAGGTTCAAGTTCCAGCTTTATCACTGACTAACTGTGTGACCTTGGACATGTTACTTAATGACCTTGTGTCCTAGTTTGCTCATCATAGGGCAGTTGTGGGATCAAATGAGTAGGTTTATATAAAGCCTTTAGAACAGCACCTGGTTCATAGCAATGCCCATAAAGTCATTTGCTATTATTTGTTGCATTCCCAGTAGGAGCATGCCATTGTGTTAGGCATTTAAGGGGGACTCAAGGTGAATGCAATAAGACACAGTCCTGCTCTCAAGAATCCTACAAGAAGAGTAGATAATGCAAGTGCATGAATAACAGTGGTGCAATGTAGATGCTGGCAAGTGCAAAGAGAGGGAGACAAGGTAAGTTTCAAATTGGGAAGGGAGATGAGAGACTTAGTGAAGGCTTCTAGGATGACTCCACAGAGCAGGTGCCATACGAGATGTGCCTTGAAGGTCTGTAGATAACAGGCAAAGTGGGGAAGCAAGAGAGGTGGAGGGCACCCCTGAATCAAGGAAACAGGGTTAAAGGCATGACTTATTATTGCTATGCTTATGGCATATCAGATTCATAAATCCATGTGGTTTTATAGCATCTTTCCTAAGATGCAACTATGAAGTTGTCTGAATACCCCTACCATGCATTAAAAAAAAAAAAATTAATTAATTAATTAATTTTGGGCTGTGTTGGGTGTTTGTTTCTGTCCTAGGGCTTTCTCTAGTTGCGGCAAGCGGGGGCCACTCTTCATCGCGGTGCGTGGGCCTCTCACTATCGCAGCCTCTCTTGTTGTGGAGCACAGGCTCCAGACGCGCAGGCTCAGTAGTTGTGGCTCACAGGCCTAGTTGCTCCACGGCATGTGAGATCTTCCCAGACCAGGGCTCGAACCCGTGTCCCCTGCATTGGCAGGCAGATTCTCAACCACTGCGCCACCAGAGAAGCCCCCCTCACATGCATTTTTAAATGCTGGTAATTACTGCAGCTTTTGGTTTTAACACAGATGGAAGAACAAGAATCTAGGGAAGTTAAAGTCTTCCTCAAGGTCACGTGGAAGGAACCCATAGATCGAGACAGAACTCCATCCATTTACCCTGGTTGCACTGGGCTGAATGGCACTTTGCTCTTAGAGAAACAAAAGTTCTCTGGGCAACAGGGTCTCTTCGAGGGAAAAGAACCGTGAAAAAAGAGGAAGCAACCAGTTTATTTTGAAAGTGAATTTTCTAAAGTTTGTTTTTTTCCTTACCATGTATCCACAAGAAAAAGAAAGAGAACTTACATAACTCCATGTTGAGTCATCCAAAATCTACATGAATATTCATCACCCTGTGTAAAGTGCTTGTCATGCCACTGGATGACCTTTGTGAAAGCCAGTGGGAAAAGGTGGATCACAAATACTGAAAAAGGAAATGCTTCAGATTGCTGTATTTTTGCCCGTACACCAATTAATCACACACCAAACTCTAGATCTCTTGTGTTTTGAAGGCCACTAAGACTTGAGTTCAAGATCAACTGTTACTAACTGAAGCAATACCAGCCCCCTACCCCCAGTTTCTGTCATCTTAAACCTCTTCATCAATGGAACAATGAATGAACTAAAAAGAATAAACACAAGATCCTGTAGTCTGAAGGGACAAATCTGTTCTCTTCTCACTGCTGCGTTTACAGTGATCCTTGAAATAGCTAAGGTGCTTTACTTGCTCCAAGGCATTATTCAAGAAAGGAATAACTGGAAATTAACATTTCAGAGTAAGAAGAGCTTTCAGAGCTGATCCAGCTCAGTCCAGTCTGGAAACTCCCAGGCAACCCCTAGATTCTTTCAGGGTGGTCTCTGTGGTCATGACTGTTTCCATGGTAATGCTAAGATTTTAGTTGCCTTTCTCACTCACTGTCATGAGTGTACAGGGATTTTCCCGCTGTACATTGGGAAGGTCTGCATAACTCAGTGGACCGGCGTTTTCCAAATGACTGATGTATAATGATACAAAATCATGAAAGGGTAAAAGATCCATTCAAAGTGCCATCTAGAGCAATGGATTCTAATGTAACAGCATGAAAGTTCCTTAATACGGTTTCAGTTTCCACAGTGTAACTAACCTTTAGGCAACCACTGCTTGTCAAGTTTTGGTGTATCAGTTGTATCAAAGAATATCCATGATTATCTGAAAAGCTTCCTAACCATTCCAACCATATATCCGTGTGAAGTCAGATTTTCTTCATATACTCCAAAGAAGGCAATATATCGCAACAGAATGAAGGCAGAAGCAGATATGAGAATCCAGCCAGATGTTAAAGAGATTTGCATAAATAGAAAACATGTCATCTAATTTATTTTGGGTTAAAAATAAAGATTTTTTCATAAAAATATGTAAATACATATTAACAGGTAATAGGTTATTAATGTTATTTTAAAACAAATGTTTGAAAAAAATAAGCAAATATTTAATTCTTATTTCAAATATGGAAAATATTGATAGAACCCACATAAATCAAAGGTCTTTGGAGTCCTCAGTGGTGTTTAAGAGTATAAAAGTTACTGAAACCAAAATGTTTGAAAACCACTGATCTTGTTAAATCATCTTGTTCACCAGGTAGTAAACAGAGAGCCTGAACATTTCAGTGACTTACCCACGGTGATGGCAAGTTTGTGGGAAAGCCAATATCGAGAACAGATCTTTTGATTCTTAGTCCAGTGTTCTTTCCATTATATTACATGGCAGGGCGTTTTAGGGTATTTTAAACTGAATATTTCACTGTCTGTATAGTTCACTAACGCTGTGTTTTTACCGGGGACCATCCTCAGGTTATTTTAGTAATATTAGCAATACAAGTGCTATTTTCAGATGGGTCATTTACAGTGTGAACCCTGGCATATGCAAGCGTGTCTTTACTAAAAACTTTAAAATAAGTGATCTAAGTAATATATTCTGATACAGAATTTAAGGTAGTTATTTCTATAATTATATTACATTAGATTTTTATTTAATTTGTACCTAGAAAAATACTTTAAGGCAATACCATAGGAAATTATCCTTAAAAATGTGACTCAAAAATAAAATGAATCTGACTGACCAAAGGCCAGGAGAGACTTGCTTCCCATGAAACTTTGAGATGTGTTCTCCTTACGATGAAAAGAATGTAAAGGTTGTTTCCCATTTTGCTTTGGCTCCTAGGGCAGACCAGGGCAAGTTTGCAACTCCACTGCAGACATTGTGCAGCCCTCCATGGTGGGCACATCCGCCCTCTCTTTCCCATGTAATTCATACCCTTGGATCCTGATTTTTATTTATTCATTTTCTCTGGAATCTATGTTTTCTCGTGAGCCACCTCCCCTTCTTCTGTGAACCTGACAGGTATAAATTAAATATACAGATCAAACCTGAGTTAATGTTTCCAGATACAGACACAGTCAATTTGTGCTCGGGAAGGTAGTGCTCATGCAATGTAATCTGAAGGAAAATTTTAAAAACATCTGTCACCGAGAAGCATGATCATTCCTTCCAAACATTTCTCTTTTCTTCTTTAGTTATGGGGCGGTTGTTCATTCCTGAAGGCAGTCTAGTAGTCATGGAGGATAAGCCTTGTAATGTGACTTGCCGCGCATTGGGCTGGACCCCACTCCCACGTCTTTCCTGGGAGATTGGGATTCCAGTGAGCCATTCGAGCTATTACTCCATCCGGGAGCCTGAGGACCTTCAAAGTGCAGTGAGCGTTCTGGCTCTGACGCCGCAGGGCAATGGCACTGTGACGTGTGTGGCTGAGATGAAGCGGCTGCACGTCCACGAGTCTGTAACTGTAAATCTTACTGTGGTTCAGCCTCCCTTGGGTAAGTGAAGACATTTTGCTTTATACAAAGTGGATTATTATTGCATGCTTTACATTTTGTATGTTGTGCTGCTTAATCAGTGATGCCCAGGAGAATCACACAGTGATCTTGATCTCAGGTAGGGATGGTAATGGAGACAAGTGACTTGTGTCAGCTTCATGACCTTGTAATTTCACTTTTAAAACTCTGTCTTCAAGTGCTTCTCTCTTTTCTACTTACATATGACAACCATTGAGAATCTTGACAATTACTTATAAAATAGCATCAAGGTCAGATGTAAATACTTGAATTCAATGTTTTTCTCTAGCTTTCACTCATTGTTCCTGTCTGATCCCATCCCCTGGGCCAAGGAAGTGAGCTCTTTCAGTATCTGAGGAGGTCATGCACGTTCTCAAGGATTCCTTCCAATCTTAGTGGGATTAGGAGGGCTCAATTTTTTACCCAGCAAATCCACAGTGTATCTCAAAGTACCAGGTCTATTTTTTTTTTTTAACTTCACAAAATGACATAAATTTAAAGTTTAGATCCTGAAGAAAATCTGTTGCAGGGTCCTTGGGAAACACCAAACTCTGACCACACCTTCATGGGGCCTCTGAACCTGCTTGACCTCGAAGGCCACCTGGGCCAACTAGAAAGTACAGGGGTGGGGGCTGAGTTTCATGCCTTCATTTTACAAAAGAGGAAAGGAAGGGAGGCCCAGAGAAGGACTACACTCCATTCCAGGTCTTATGCTGATGGCACAAAGGGATCCCGAAGCCAGGAGGAACTTCTCCCTTGGTCCAAAACTCTTCCCACTATGAAAACACTTCTTAGATCTTCCAAAGTTTGGAATAAAGTTACAGCCATAGCAAGATTAATAATAACAATAATAAAAATAAAAAACAGTACTACATAGCTCTTATTAAGTTAAGATGCGTGTTTTTTTCCCCCAACTCAGTGTTTCACTTTATTTAAAAAAAATTTTTATTGGAGTATACTTGATTTAAAATGTTGTGTTAGTTTCTGCTGTACAGCTAAGTGAATCAGTTATACATGTGCATATATCTACTCTTTAAAGACACTGTTTTAAGCAGTTCTCAAATATTAACCAAATTACACAACTTTCTTATGAGTGGATGCTGTTATTATTCCTGATGTAAAGATGAGGCGACAGAGACACATTGTTTGGACCTTGCCCACGTTGATAGTAGACGGCAGAGGTGGCCTCGCCAGTGTGTCTCTAGAATCTGCTCACCCGCCCACTCTGCCCTCCCCCTGTGAGCAGCCCTGGAAGGTTTGTGAGTGTCCTGGGGCTGCTGTAACCTCAGACTGGGGACTTAAACAACAGACATGGTTTCTCTCACAGCTGTGGAGGCTAAGAGTCCAAGATCAAGGTGTGGGCAGTGTTGGTTCCTTCTGAGGACCCATCTGTTCCAAGCCTCTCCCCCAGCTTCTGGTGGTTGGCTGTCAATCTTTGGTGTCCCTTGGCTTGTAGCCCCTGCATCACCTGATCTCCGCCTTCATCTTCACATGATGTTCTCCCTGTATGTGTGGCTCGTCTCCATATTTCCTTTTTTTAATAAGGACCCCAGTCATATTGGATCAGGGGCCACCCTATGACCTCATCTGAACTAAATTCCATCTGCAGCAACCCTGTTTCCAAATAAGGTCACATTCTGAGGCACTAGGAGTTAGTATTTTAACAAATGAATTTTGGGGACAGACAATTCACCGCATAACAGATGATGTCTCTGTGAACCTGTAAAAAGCCATTTAGAGCCTAAGCTGTGGTTAGCGCCAGTCATCCTGAGCTTTGCACTGCAGGGATTGATCCCCACTGCAGTACCATCACAAGCTTGCACTCCTGATGTCTGGCCCTTGTCTCCAACTCAGGTGTCTCCAGAGACCAGGCAGACAACAGAAATTAAAGCATGAGTGAATCCACATGTCAGGTAGAAGACAGAGTGCAGGGGCCTGCTGGGAACCAAACAGCATCCCCATCGACACGGAGCAGCTGTACAGTCTCCAGCTGGTTGTTGCCATTAGGAATGGGGACTCAGACTGCCAGAGCTTTGACCTGGTTCTGGTGAATATCAGTGTCTTTGAGGGTAAAGGACACAGAAATCTGTGTTTTCTTCGGTTTTAAGTCGAGGTTAACTTATTTCAGCTTATTAAATTCAAAGGATTTTAGCTGATTTCCTACCAAGACTGTATATGAAGATGAAGCTAGAATTCAAACCTAGCTTCCTTTCTTATTATTTTGGACAATTAAAAAACCTTTAGAAAAGTTGGTGCAAGAATAGTACAATGAATACCAATGTATCTTCACTTAGATACAACAGATGTTAACATTTTCTCATGTTTGCTTCTCTCTCTTAGCTTTTCTTTCCCTTCCTCTCTCCCTCCCTTCTTTCCTTCCTTTCTCCCTTCCTTCCTTCCTTCCTTTACCATTTGAGATTTAGTTGGAGATTTTATGACATTTTACCTCTAAATACCCCAGCATGTGTATCATAAGAACAAGGCCATTCTACATAGCCCCAATGTAGTTGGCAGTCAGGAAATTTAACATTGATACAATACTATTATACAATATTCAGTCCATATTCAAATTTCCCCGACTGTCCTTTCTAGATTTTTCTCCCCCAAACCAGTATCCAGTTAAAGGCCATGCATTGCCTTTGGCTGTCAGGTCTTCTTCTGTCTCCTTTAACGTCCAGTGGTTCCCCCACTTTTTGTCTTTCCCGATATAAACATCTTTGAAGGATCCAGACCATTTTTGCAAGATACCCTTCAATATGGATTTGTCTGAATTTTCCCAACATACTTTGATTGAGGATAAATATTTTTGGCAAGACATGGGTAATGTCATGTGGGCATGTGATGCTAATTTTCTCTATTATTGGTAATAAGTTTGATCATTTGGGTAAGGTGGTGTCCCCCAGATTTCTCCATTGTAAAGGTACCTTTTTGACCTTTATAATTAATATCTGATCTACAAATACTGTGTGAATATCTTGTTTCTTGACAGTATTTCACATAATAACATTTGCATTCATGGATAAGTCGTTGTCTGAATCACTTATTTCTATAGTGGTTATAAAAGAGAGAATTTTCTGGTTCCATCATTTTTCTATATTTATTAGTTTGGCATTCTTCTGTAAAGAAGAGGCATTTCTTTTCTTCCTTTTCTTTCTTTCTTTTTTCAAAAAAATTTTACAGTTTTAGTACCGACGCATTTTTATCCAATACATTATGATTTGTTTCCATCGTTACTCATTGTGACGCTCAGATTCCTCCAGATTCGGCCAGTGGGAATCCCTTCCGGCTGGCTCTGCTGTCCTTCCGATGTGTCCCTCTTAGTTTGTTTTTTTTTTTAACACCTTTATTGGAGCATAATGGCTTTACAATGGTGTGTTAGTTGCTGCTTGTATAACAAAGTGAATCAGCTATATATGTACATATATCCCCTTTTCTCCTTCCTCTTGGCTCACTAAGATGTTCCAAACTTTCTTCACCTTTCCCCTGTTCCAGTCTGGAATCAGCCAGCTCTCCAAGGAGCCAACCCAGCTTGCTTTTAAGCAATTTAAATATGAAAAAGTGTGGTCCAGGCTTTGAAAGGGAAGATTGAAAAAAGTTCCATTGGCACCAAATGGAATGAATTTGTTTAAACCACACACTTTAACAAGGTAATAAGGCAATAATGCAGCGAGGAGCTCTGGTCTATGATGATGCCTCACAGAAATGGATTTGGATATTAGCTTGCCTACAAAGCTTCTCTTTTTAGGGGAAGGGCAAGGGACATTCGGTTTCCCGTGATGGGGTTTAATTCAGCTGAATTCTTCTTAGCCTGGGACCAGTGAAGTGAGTGGCCTTAATTACGGCAGCTGGAGTCACAGACAGTTTGACAGAGGAGAGCGTTAGAGGTGTGTTGCAATGAGTCTGACTTTATTGGACTCATTTGGAGAAGGGTAATTTGTTTCTAAATTATTCATCAAGATAGAGAGCAGCTGGTGGCTGGCTGCCCGTTGTGTGTTTTATGCAGGTTTTAGTATCTGAAGTCCTCGTTACTGCCTTGGCTGGGAGAGCTGGCTCGTAGAAGCAAAGCCACGTTTACAAAGAGCTGAAGATGCACGAGGCTGTGCTTGTTCAAGCTTCTTCAGGAATCAGACAGAAACATCAGTCCTGCCACTCATTCCTGAAAGTGCAAAGGAATTTGTGCTCATGTCCGGAATAATCCTTGCAAGTCCTTGAAAGAAGAATAATAGTGGCAGCTTAGGAAGTCTAGTGAGTTCAAGCCAAAAGGTTGTATTACACACATTGATTCTTTAAAGAAAAGCATATTGAAAGGTCGCAGGCTAATTTTTTTTTTTTTAAGTCTATTTTCTCTATTATAGCGGTAGTACAGACTTGAAGCATCACAGACGTACATACAGCTAGAAGGCGAAGGCCCCCATTGTGCCTACCATGAGCTAAGGTCCCTCAGTCCTCTGTCTGGTCGTCTGGATTGTTTTCTCTACGTACTTACAAGTGTGTACGCTGTGAACTGTGAAAGTGAAGCCATATTTTTCGGACACACGAGCACCTTGCAGACTGTAGTGATTCCTGGTACGATCTGAGTTTTGTGGGATGTGGTCATTTCGAGAGCAGACAAGAGTGGTGGGAGTGACAGTCCTGGTGGGAACTCTGGCACTAGCTGTGTGATGCTGGGCAAGTCACTGGCCTTCGGGGCTCAGTTTTCTTGCCCGTGAAATGAGGTGGGGAGGAGCATAGGGCAGATGTTCCCTCTCCTTGGCTGCCTGTCAAGAGAGCTTTAACATGTATGCTGATTCTCAGGCCCCACCCCAGAGGTTCTGACTTACTTGGTCTGTGTGGTGTCTGGGAATTGGCATTTTTAAAAAAAGCTCCCAGGGCTTCCCTGGTGGCACAGTGGTTGAGAGTCCACCTGCTGATGCAGGGGACACGGGGTTGTGCCCGGGTCTGGGAAGATCCCACATGCCGTGGAGCGGCTGGGCCCGTGAGCC